GGCCTGGCGCATACCCGCCGTATGGAGGGTCTGCGCCTGTATTGTTTTTTCACAGGGGAATATTGCTGTCGGTGCCCGTACCGCAGTGTGATTTCATGTGGGAAGCAGTATCGGGGGCCCCGCCAGTGATACAGCAAGGTTTGCACAGGGTGCGCCCGCCTGGGTGGGCGAGTAAGCGGGTTGGATTGTATTCTGACCGGCGCCAGTGGGTGGGATACTACGCTGTTTTTAGCACGACACGGTACAGGAGCCTTTTTGCTCGATACACTCGCAGAACCGTGCGAGGCGGGACCCCGACCTAAGCGCTAACGCGGTCGTCATGTGTACTGTACGCGCGCGCTGAACAGGCGGGCGGCGCGAGGCGGCCGGAAGGACTACAAGGACAAGGGCGTGAGCGACGACGACTTGGGGGACGAGGACTCTGACTCGGCGGTCAACTCGGAGTTTGAGGTATGTGTGTGGCTCGCTTGTCCGGCTGTGTTGTGTTTTTGGTAGTGGCAGTGGTTGTTTTGTTGTTGCTTTTGTTGTTGTTGTAGCATCCTCTGGTGGAAAGAGGAACACCTTTGCTGTCATGGGGCACAGAACAACACGGCGAACAGGCGTCTGTTTCTGCTTGGTTGTTCCCAGCAACCTCTTTTTTGCCGCTTGGAACAGCAGTTTGTTTCTCTTTTGCCTGAAACCGAAGTGCAGTGGTTTGTCCCAGCTGTGTGCTTGCCGGTGCTTTCCTCCTGCGCCGATCGTGGAGGCTTGGTGTTTCTGTGTTGTCTTGTTTTTGTATGATGGTAAAGTTGCTGATATTTTGCCGTTGCATCCTGTGGGCATTGATCGCTTTTGTGCACCGCTTCCGTGTTTCTTACTATGATAGAAATCGCTGGTGTTTGCCGTCTTCTGCATGTGCATGCTCCTTGCCGCCGCCTTTGATTGTGTGATGATCAGGACGTCTCGAGCGGCGACGACTCGGTGGTAATGCTCAACGACAGGCATCTGTGGGGTCACGACGACATCAATGACGTGTTCGGGTGAGCGAGAGAGAGAGAGAGAGAGAGAGAGAGAGAGAGAGAGAGAGAGAGAGAGAGAG